TTCGAACCGAAAATTGCATAATTCTTTGCCTGTCATTAACCCTTGCTCCGCCACATCTACTTGAATTTGAAGATTTTCAATTTTGATTAAAACAAAAATGCCTCAACTTTAAACCCAAAAATCTAAGAAACCACTGAATCTACAGAAAAAAGATACTCAGTCTGTTAATATGGAAGGTTTGCCCTATCGACTATGTCACATTAAAATCCCTCAGGTAGGGTCGACAACCTTCCCTTGTAAGTTCTAACTTGAGATTTGTTGAGAATTTGAATTTCAGGGTTAACTTACATTTCAATCCAAACGCCATCGATCCGATCGCCAATGATTTAGTTTATAGCGAGCAAATGTTGCATAGAATGATCCTAAAAGCAGAAAACACTCGTAACAATATATATGGTATGATCATAGGCCCGTCTAAAGGTACACTTGAGATGATGCTAGATCGCCGTACACTAAATGATGATTATCGGGGAGTAGGTGAACCCATTATTGACAACAAATTGACCTGTTCGAAATTTCTTCTAGTTTTTGAAGATTTCACTGATACCCAAACAAAACCACAATTTTCATCATCTTCATCCTCATTGCCATCTTCATCCTTAACCTCATCTACATCATCATCTTCACTTTCTCCAGAGTTACCATTTTTATCTCAACTATCATTTCATCTTTCAACTCATTTAATTTATCCACCTGTCGTTTTTGCAGACGATGGATTTGAAGAGAGACCTTTGCTTAATAGGTTTACTTTTTTGGACAACCCAATGCCTTGTTACCTTCATCTAGTCAATATTAGATCTTTACCTCTCTATAGTGATTTTGACAAACCCTCCGCTCATTATTTCATTTATTTTCCTTTTTGTGTTAACACTAACCCTAAAAAATAACAATAACAATATTCAACATGAACCTGAATCCTCTATCCCCCTAAACCCAAACTCCTCTAATAAAATACTAATTTTCAAACAACAATAAGTAAACTGAAAACAAAACAAAAAACACAATAAAGACAAAAAATACATACATGCAAAAAATACAAGGTTCCGACCTATTGACCGGAACACCTTGTACATTAAAAAACAATGATACACAAAAAAATAAAGAAGAAAAACGAAATTAAATCAAAATAAAAATCAAATAAAACAAAAAAATCAAATTAATAGCTATTAAATCCCATCTATTTTGAATTAAAGTACTTGCGCGCTCGTAATTCAGCTCCATTTTCAGCAAACGATGATCGGAATTATCTAACATCTCATGGGTCACGAAGTTATTTGCTTCTCGAATTATTTCACATCCGATAAAGAGATCATTAACGATGGCAGTGGTTCCTCTCATCCAGGTGGGCACAAAACCTTGTGAGAGATCGTTAACAACAGAAAGGTCGTATTGCTCCATCAATTCAACCAACCTATTACCCTTCCAGGCTTTCCTAGTGTCCCGATTGGTTTCACTTGAGCAACTAGGGTGATAAGCATTGAAGTCACCTAATATCATCGCCAAATCAAGCTTGCTGTGAAGTGAGGTATCCAAAGAATCGATTAACAACAGACGAGAATTGCTCTCTGGAAAGCACTGCATTTGTTTGCGACAGGTAAATAGATCCTTACATCACTCGCATATGTCTCCAACGTAAAGCCACCACTTTGGCTACAGTAATAGGTAACACGGCTTCCGGATAAACACTCAAAGTCTCACTATTTGCGATTTTTATCGCTGCAGCTTGATGATGAGAAGACGTGAACACTCCGACATTAGCGTCCCTTTCAATAGAATCAGGGATAAGTTCTGTTAACACGCAGATGTTTGAATTCGATTCAGTAAAGGCATTGTCCAGAAAGATTGTTGCCTCATTCGTTCGTCCACAATTACCATAAACAATAGAAACATTATGGGCCATGTTGAAATACTTAGTTGACGTCAAAAAACCAAAATGAAAAACTGAGACTTTATCCTTTCTTTTATCCACTACAGATATTCTTCATATCCACTATATTCATTCTTGATCATTCGTTTGCGTGATTATTATCCACTAATTAATCTATTTTATGTTAACATGTGAACCTATGGGAGGACTATAGCGTCCAAAGAGGACTATAGCTATTCCAATTGTATCGCATATGCTCAGTAATTCTATGTTAATTTTACTATTTTGTATCCTAAATTTCATTATTTTTATTGTACCGATTTCTTGATGGCATGGATGTGCGTCCATCAGGCAGAGGAACATAAGCAACCTTTCCAGCGCAATTTGACTTGCATATATCAGCCACACAATTATGATTGGTGACCCTGGGAAAACACAACTTTTCTCCTCATGACGGGTCATATTACAATTTTTGGTGAAAGAAGAATCACAGAAGCGACAGTAAAACAAATTTGGGTCGCTTTCATCAGGATCCGATGAAAAAACGAGATTTCGTTTCAGCTTTTTTGGTATTCCATAAGGAACATTAGTGGAACCCTCTTTTCTCATGTCTCTAATAAATATTAGGGCATCCCATGCAAGTTAAGAAACGAGTTTATGAATACCGCGCTTGCTACAATCGCCCTAGTGGAGAGTTTAGTACATCGTTTTGACCGTTTAAGTTTCTTGTATTTGAATTTGAAGCAATTTTTGATATAGCAAAATGTCGTTGTTAGAAAATATAAAAAATCAAGTGATGACCATCAATGTTTCTATTTTACTAAATTTTGTGTCGGTTTGGAGCACTCAGGTGGTATCATACATTCAAACTTGATAAATTACTTAGAACCTCAGCCCCTAAAAAGTCTACCGTAGATAGTTGGTGTACCCGCATAAAGAAAGGAGATATGGACTATAGAGTGAATTATGGAGGCGATCGCTCGAACAGCCGACTTCACCATGAAAGATTAGAGAAAATCAAAGCTTCTTTTGTGAGTTCGAGAGCTTGGTCAATAGAGTCATTAGCGAGCTATACGGGAATACCTAAATCAACGTGCCACAGAATTGTAACGCAAGACTTGAAGATGAAGAAGCTTGTGAACAAATGGGTACCCCATGAACTGACACCACACCAGAAGGAGACCCGGCTGATTTGTTTCGAAAATAATTTACAATTATACCGGAGAACACAAGCACTACTCAAAAGAACAATAACTATTGACGAGTCTTGGGTCGCTCTTCACATGGCACCAAATAGGGACCAAGCAAGGAGCTGGAGAATGCCAGGTTAGAAAGCTCAATCTGTTGTGCGTCAAAATATCCATGGTGAGAAAAGAATGCTTATTATGGCTATGGAGTACGACAAAATTGCATTCTGGGAGCTCCTTCCTGAAAAAAACCTCTGTTGATGGAACTGTGAACCGTAACTTCCTCGATAAACATATTGACTCCTGGCTTCGTACAAGAGATAGCAATCACCTCTGGTTACTACATGATAACGCGCGACCGCACAAGGCTCAAGTTGTAAAGAGTTATCTTGAAGAAAAGGGAATTACCTTCTGAACCCATCCACCGTAATCCCCAGATATCAGCCCTTTAGACTTTTGCTGTTTCGGTGCATTAAAAAGAGGTTTAAAAAAAGGGTTGCCACTGATTGGGACCAATTTTCCGCTAATTTAAACGAAGTCGGTTGGGCGAAACGAAAAATCGAATGGGCGTGGCCTAATGGATGGTGTATCAAAGTTGCATGAGCGTTAAGCCCGAGTAATTGAAGCTGAGGGTGACTATATAACATTTCGATGCACAGTTAAAAACTTCAGTCACTTTGCGCAGACACTGTTATTGAATGCTTGTATTTCAAATGAGGTCGAACAATAAAGTCAGACAAATGGTTCTTCGAATAAATTCTACAATCAAAAACTTTTAAATGACCTTCAAAAGATCTCAAAAGTCAAAGATTGAATCCCCTAAAATGACCTCCGACTTATAAAGTCAAGATTTCTCTAATAATAACATCCTAGACCAAAATCGAGCTTATTCTGCTGTTTCAAACAAACGTTTTCGTGCAAACGATAAGTTCGAATTTGTTTCAACAAAACAAACAAGTTTATCAAAATGTCCTCTCTTCTTTACGATTACCGCTGTCAGACGATTCGCGAAAAAATAGCTATAATTTTTTTGACAAGTTTCCATTGAAATGTTATTAGTCTCAATTATAAACTTCTATTTCGAGCTGGGTAAGCTTCTGAATACCTGTCTTTTAGACTTTAGACTGTAAGTTAAATAGGTTTTGAGAGATTAAAAAGAAGAGCTTTTATTGTTGAAATGGAGGTTAAACGTGTGTTTGACACCCTGATACAACTTTTCAATTTTAATGCCTGAAAGTAATGACTCAAGATGTCTCTAGTTTCCATTTCATTTTACACCATTACTCAGCATACGATAGATAGCAGAACAAGCAGGTAACGCCATCTTACACAAAAGAGTCTAGTTATTGAATGAATCAAACTCGAGATAAACTCAACGAGAACTCATGTCACATCTATTCTTGCTTCGGTAATGTACACTGCTTGGAATAGTTCAGTTATTAAAGCTCCGTTTATTGATACAAATGTTGCTGTTGAAAGTAATACAACTTCATCAACCATTGATAAAATTACTTCAACAAGTCAGATTGAACCTTCAAGTCCAGTTGAGATTTCAACATACGATAAAGAAGTTCACATTCTTGAATTTATCGAATCTCAGTATAGCCATAGAGAAACAACCGTTATTGTGATTACCCTTCTCTATATGGTTCTTTTTATTCTGGGTTTAGTCGGAAACATTTGCATAATTTATTGGCATGTTGCTCCAAAATCATCTTATTATCAGCGAACAACTTCCAACATACTTGTTATCAACCTTTGTTTATCTGATTTGTTGGTTACCTTTTTCTGCTGCCCATTTGTGGCTTATGCCAAGAATACAACCATTTGGAGGTTTGGTGAAATACCATGTACTTTGGTCCATTACATGCAAGGTAAGAAAAGTTTAGCCCAAGATACTTGAAATAAGTTGAAAGAACTCTAAATTGCAATAAAACTTAATTAGACGAGAGCATTTACTTGATTTTATATGTTATATGGTGACCAGATAATTTTCATGGCCATTTTTTCCATTCTCAAACTTCAATCCTTTTCCTTATTCATATTCACATTTATCTTAAATTTTCACCCTAAACATATTTAGCACTCCAATCGATTACTAAAATCGAGTAAGCAAAGTAAGGAATAAATTGTGTTATAAAATTATGAACTATTAGAACTACGTACTCAAAACGAAAATGTTGCTTGAGCTCTCGAATTGAATGCTTTAAGAAAGCCCAAGATTGCCCATTTTCAATCAGAATATAAGCTTCGTTAGAAGACTTTGAAAACTCTCGATTCGAGCGTCTTTTACTTTGAAATAAAATTTTCAAATTTTCAAAGACTGATGTTGATGAAGATGATGATGATCAAAAAGATGTTGAAATTTTTTGGTTAGTTTGCAATGATTGAAGAGTTTTCAATAGAGTGCTGATTTTCCAGTTTATAAAGCTTATTGAACAAAATTTATTCTGATGCTGTGTAGGAATAAATCTTGTTTACCTGACAAATTGAAAAGAAAAAGCAAGAAACGAAAAATTTAGTCCAATTCTCAGTCAAATTGTTAAAAAAAAGTAAACCAACAGTTAAATTATATTTTCAATCAGTTTATTAAACATAATGATTGTTTCTTGTGTTTGTTTCAACAAGAAAATTGAAAAGTCCAACTATTGGAAAAAGAGATTACAGAATAAAGGTCACATTTCAATTTTAAATTGAACATTTCCAATCGTAAATCTGTTAGTTTAAGATGCAAGTTTAGACAAAGTGCCAATTTAGGCAACAAGTTTGTATTTTTTATTCATCTGAGTAATAAAACAGATTTTATTTAATGTTGAAAAGTTTAATGTAATTTTTTTTATTTACCATTAGATTCAATGCTATTTATACATTATTTTACACTTTAACCTTATAACCAGAGAGACTCAGTCAACTATTGTTTCTTTTGTTTCATGACATCAACAAGTTATTAAAAGACCATATTTTACAGCTCAGTTCGCTTTCAATGATGTCATTTGATTCCTTTTCATTTTGTTCACTAATAAAGAATGCTTCACAACAGCCATGCAACGCCATAACTTTCCATTATCAATATTTGAAATTCTTCTGTGTTTTCCAAGTCAACGGACTAAATCTATTACTTTCACCAATACCAATGATGTAAACGAATAGTTTTTGTTTGTTTCATTTAATGAATCTTTTTCAATTTGGTATGGAATCCCTCAGTAATTCTGTCAAATTGAATAGTTCTTCATATTATCGATGTTTATCGGAAAATGTTCACTCTGCGATTATTCTTGTTAACTGTTTCAAGTGAAAAGTGGTCAGAAGGCATTTGGTTTTCATTGAGAAATAATTTTGTCTATTTTGCTTGCGAATGCTCTTTTTGTTTTTCTGTGGTTTTTGTCTGGCTTCAGTTGTTACTACATTTAATGACAGAAAGGTGAAAAGGTAGTTGCAATAAAACTCGAGTGTCTTATTTTACTTATCAATCATTGTAAGAATCTGGATGAAGTCTCTCAACATGGTTTGACGTGAAAAGAAGAAAAAATAAGGCAGAAAAAGTTAGCGAATAAATGATGGATAGAAGGAAGCATCTGATGATTTCTTGTTTTCTTGTCAACCCATCTTTGGGCTTCTCATTAGATCAACAATAGCAATGTTCAATGTAAAGGTAACTTGATGACAGTCTAAGGTTACCGTTTCATCCAAAAATAACACTTTGATTCTCATTCAATAGCATAACCAATAATTAGGATAACGATGAGTAATGATAGACAGTCAATGAAAATTTAGACATTTACATGATATGAAATATTAGATGATTCAAGATCTTACAAAAAGTATCAGCATTGTGTTACTTATGCTGTCAAATTTGATTCTTGATTTATAAAGTTAAAGGTTACTCAAACACAAATCTTATGATGTGCTCGAAGAATATATTACCAAATTTTCCGATTTTCTTCGTTATTCAGTCTTATAGCCCATAATAAAATCTACTGATATATCAAAGAATGATGATTGTAGGTGCTACCGTTATCAAATATTGATGCTCAACGTTTTAAGGCTAATGGCCGAAATGGAGAGAACGGTCGATAAATTGAAATAAGTGTTCGATCGTTGATGTTTACCAAACATTTTTATCGACAAATAATAAGTTTCAGCTATATAACTCTTACAGTAACTCGAAAATCCAAGTGATCTGTTGTACAAAATTTTTTTTTCACAAAATAAGTGCATTTTCTGGTTTTCCAGGTTACTATTCCAGTTACATCAAATAAGTGATATTGATGAAGAAATCTGGTTACAACTGTACAACTGAAGTTTCAACTTTGACCTCGATTTAATCGGAGAAATTTTTCAACAGAACTAATAAACTCAGTTTTCACCCCTAAAACTCGAAATCCCGTTACTTTTGATTAAGGAAATGTTGAAAATATATTTTCACCAACTTTTTTTTTGTTATCATTGGCAGTTCCAGTAAATCCCTTAAAACCAAAGAGTGATATTGCAACACTCGACTGGAAGTCGACTGTCAATTTAAGGTAAAAAGTGTTACAATCCAGTGTAACAATTTCGAAATGACTAGACAAAAAGAAAAATCGGTTTCTTCTTGTCAGATTCAGAGCATTCTGTAAGATTATTTTCTTTCATTGCAGTCACTTGCACTACAGAATCCAAAGGTATCATAAAAACTAGACTCAAATTGAATGAGTAAACCAGAGTAAAGTGCTTTATTACTGTCCAACTGACCGAATTGCATTTAGAATGAAAATTGACATCATTTTTTTTCTTTTAATAATAATGAAGTGATGAAATTGTCTTTTATTTCTGATTATTTGTGCTTCAACGAAAGTTGATTAGAAGCTGATTTCCTCTTTGATTTCTTTCTTTGTGCCTTTCATCAATGAGAATGTACTTGAAGCTGTTATTTAAGCATCTTCATTGTTTTTAATAATCACACAATTGTCATGCATATTCTTCATGATGACAGCCAAGTGAAAATTATTCATGATTAAATTTTAATGAAAAAGTTTTCCCCTCCTTGAAACAAGGTCAAAATGGTTTCAAGTGCACCTAAAGACTAGAGGTAAAGCAAATCAAGTAAACAATTGAAATGAACCTTTGCATAATCCTCTACAAAGACAAGTTAAATCATTTTTCGTTTTTTTCTCGTTTTCATTATCAAAACTCTTCATTTTTCATGAGTATATTTTGTGCAAAAAAATCATACAAAACCATTTTCTACATTCCACATTCAAAACAATGTTCACATCTTGATGAATAAACAAATCCAATGAATCTTCAAATCAATCTTTTAAACTCAAACCCCTTTGAAACAAAGCATACTTTTATGATCATCGATAGACAGAAATAAAGCGATTTCCAGAGATGCAAATCCAACAGTTGGTATTCACTTTACAAGTTGCATTTTTCAAATCCATATCCAAAAGACCTACACTCTTGCAAAACCCCAAATTGAAATCTTCAGATTTTTCCAAATGGATAATATCCATTGCATGGTGAAAGATGCTTTAAGCATCGATAAAAAACTTGCATTCGAGTTGAAGGGTAAACTTTTATTGGTTGTATGACATTGATTCTATTTGTTGAATTAAAAAGTTTTTCTGATGGACAGTCTTTGCCAAATTCGAGTTCCGATTGCAACTTGGATAAACTTTTTTAGAGTTGAAGCCTCTGGTTTTTTCACTCAATCTTCAGTATTTACTCTTTACTCGATAGACAACCGACAGACTCGATGCTATGGGTGCATAAATTTTATTGAGATTTGCTCAATAATTTTGCCTTAGCGTTGGTATTTAATTATTTCCCCAAATTTTTCATGCTAAAGTTTTCACTGACTCTCAGACAATCAATCCCTGAAGCGAAAAGCTTTTTTTTGCATTGAAATCCTTTTAATGATTGCAACTTTTTTTCCGATTCAAAATGAAGTTGCCAAAAAATGAACTGAGTGAACAAAAAAGTGTAAAATTCAACAGATATTCCCAAAATTGACTCCAACATTTCAATTATTCATTATACAGTTTTGTTCGCAACTCAAACTTTCTCTATTATATTCATACTTTTTTACTTGGAGCTGTTGATCAATATTGTTACAATAACATGAAATAGATATTATGTATGATATAATTTAAAATGGGATGAAATTTTCGTTATAACTGTACTATATTTGCCTGAAAAAAAGCTCTTGGTGAAAATGCTTTACTTTTCATGTTTACTTTTCATGTCAATACTCGAAAAGTCAAAACTCAAATGTAATGCATTGATAATAATCAAAAAAGTTATTACAATTTTCGCTTCTTTTTTTGTGCAAACTTTCCATTTTCTGGTTCAAATAGTTTTACTGATTTTATTATTTTCATCTATTTATTGCTGAATCAAATACAATACTCATACTCACTACAATACTTATACTCAATAATTGCAAGTATTAGTAACTAAGTAATGACAAGATGCAATCCAAAGCCTTTTTCACCCTTTAACCATAACACTCTTGTTCGACTAATGTTTTCTTCGCTTCAAGCTGCAATTAATTTCCAGAAGCAAATAATGCTTTTAATCTCAGGTTATTGGACACATCATCTGAAAAAAGGTCACCACTTTAGCTTTCGCTTTTTTATCTACACATGAATATTAGCATGTGCTGTTATTTGTTATGAAACATAATAGTATTGATCGATAAAGAATGAAACTTGAGACTTTCAATGTTGCAAATTTTGAAATGCTTTTCATTCCACAATATTCCTAGTTTGCTTCATGCTCAATGGAATGGTGATAATCTGAAAGCAAACAAAAGTATTTTGTAGAATCGACTGAAAACACTTTTTCTGGTTTTTAATTTTTTTGATTTTCAACCTTTAAAGGTAAACAAGTT